CAAAAAAACGAAGCATCTTTGTAATAAACAGACTAAACAGACCTTTTCTCTTTCAGATCAAAGTTCCAGATAGTCTGAATATAAAACAGTTTCAAGATTAATGAATCTTACTGCTGATTGGAATGAGATAAACACTTTATTAGAAAAGAACCCAGAGATAAGAAGCAATTAATGTGATTGCCGAGTATTACGCTTTGCTGCAAAGCCGAAGCTTATGCATTCAGTTAGGGGGGAAAATATGCAAAACACTGTCAGGTTTCCAGCTCCACACGCGCAGTGGTGCTCAGCAAGAGAATCATTAAAAAAACGAGGTGTTCTGGTTAGATTGATGCAGCAGATGAAAAGAAAGGAGAGGGGGAAAGAAGGAAGAGAGGGAGGAAAAAAGAAAGCCACCCATAAGCTTGGAGTCTACCTTCTTGTCACAGGACATTCCCAAAACAGGAATCGCCTGCGCTTTGCATCTTTCAAATCATGTCTGCCTTGACTCCTTTGCCAATAGTCAGCTTCAGAATTGAACCCAGAAGTCTTCCTTAGCATCCCTACTCATATCCCCTAAGTTGTCAAACAGCAAATCCTGAGAGACTATTACCTACCAAGGCTCCTAGTCCCTATTACAGCACTGTTGGGTCAGACAAACTTCCATTCAAGTCTCAGCCACCTGTGGTGTGCCTTTGAGCAAGGTGAGTCACCAAGTTAAGTTTCATCAATGATCAAATGGACATAACAAAACCCATCTTGGAAAATAAATATATATTATTGACGTCGAGTCTGAACCCACTCATAGCTGATTTTTCATTGCATTTCCAAGGCTCCAAATTACACAGGAGATTGCCTACCTTTCTCCCTCAAAGCTGCCAGTGGATTTGATCTGCCAGAAAGAGACAGCCCTTTAGATTAGCAGCATGATCCCCTGTAGTAAGGAGCCCTGGAAGTGTAAGGGTTAAGTGTTTGCCTACTAATTAGAAGGTTGATGTTTCAACCCCACTAGTAACTCCTTCGGAGATAAGACCTGATGGTCTGCGCTCATAAGGATTCCAAGGCAAGTGCATTGCCATTTAGTCAATTCCATCTCTTAGTGATCCTACTGGACAGAGCCAAACTGTCTTACAAGGTTTCTGAACCTGTAAGCTGTAGAGAAGCAGACTATCATGTCTTTCTTCCTAAGAACAGCCAATGGTTCCAACCATCCACCTTTCTTTAACCAATGCACCACAAGAGTTTCCAGGTGAAAAGTCATAGTCAAGGAAACTCCATAATCAGTTCTGCATCTATAGACCCTGTTGGGGTGCAGTGACTCAGAATCCATTCCACAGAACACAGCAATTGGACTGACACATGCTAGAGATGTTGGTCCCAGGGTTTTAATCACTGTCCACAGGGAGTGCTAGATAGGTCCCCATGAGGACAAGGAGCTATGGGGGTTAGAGGGGATTGTGTTTGACAAGTGTCTAATACAGTTGTTGTTGTTGTTGTTACTGTCAGGTGTCATTGAGTCGACTATAACTCATAGCAATGATGTAAACGACAGATCTGAACCTTGCCCTGTCCAGTACCGTCCTCACCATCTCTGAGATCCTTAAGCTCATGGTTAAGTTCACGGTGTCGATCCTTCTCCTTGAGAGTCTTCCTCTATTTCTCTCACCTACCACCTTTCCTGGCATGACAATTTTTTTCCAATGACTAGCCCCTGCTGACAACAAGCCCCAAATATGTGAGACCAAGTTTCACCCCCCTTGCCTCCAGGCAGCACCCTGCTTTGTACTCCTGCCAAGACAGCTGCCAGTGCTAAATCAGTGACAGTTCTGTGACTTGGGCTCCCAGGCCTCTCTCCTTCTCATTGTACAGTCTTAATTGACAATCTGGGGGGAAGGAAACAATACGAACCTAAGCACTTTGATATCTCAGGGCACAGGATATGAATCCTTTTTTTTTTCCATTATAGAGTTTTCCGAGAAGATATCCCTTACCCTCTTTCTGGCAATAAGCCACAATTGCTCTATCCCTGCTACTCTGGGAGTGAGTAGCATCCACATCACTGGAGGGTTTCATAAAAATGTACCCTGATGAATCACAATCTGCGTTTTCGAATGTCCTGGGGTGGTCTGTTACTCCTTATGTGGTGCAGTTGAATGGCAAAGCACTTGACTGTTAGCTGAAGGGCTGGCAGTTCAAGTTCACCCAGGGGCACCTCAGATCACAGGCCTAGTGACCTATTTCCCTACAGAACAGATCTATTCTCCACACCTGGGTTCAGCAAGCATCACAATCGAATCAGTGACACCCACCAACAACACAGTGATTGGATTGTGCATTAATGTTTGAGAATTACAAAGCTAAAAAGCAACAAAGCAATCATAGTAAATATTTGTGGGTTGTGGTGCACTTGACGTTCAGCTAAATGCTTCAAATGCTCAGCTGCTCCAGAACCTAACCTCTGTGAGGGCGGAATCTTTGATTTACTAAACCACAGTTTCCACATCTAGATTGAGAGAAGTAACTGAAGCCCCATGGCACTGTTGGGAGGCTGAGCTGAATGGCATAGGGCATAGAATCATTGTGGTGTCCTCAGCACCAAGAACAGTGCCTGGCACGTAAGTAATGTGGGGGAACGTATGCCCTGTGTCATTCAGCTCAGCCTCCCAACAGTTCTATGGGGCTTCAGTTACTCCTCTCAATCTAGATGTGGAAACTGTGGTTTAGTAAATGATTTCCTTTAATTAGCAGATACCAAGTCTGTGGACCTCCAAACACAAGTTCTTAGATGTAAGTTACTTTTTATAACTCACTATTGCTAGCTGGCTCTGACTGGCAGCAACCCCAAAGCCCTGCCTGATCCCGTGCCATCATCAAAAACCCCTGCCCATCATTGCAGTCATTGTGTCAATCTGTCTCATCAAAGGCCTTCCTTTCCAAGAGTGAAGTCTTTTTCCAGACATATTCCTTTTGGTCCATGTAAATATCAAGTCAACTTATTGTTGTGATACTTAACCACTGTTGAACAGTATGGACCATAGTTTTTACTCTGTCTGATCTTTAAGGCATCCTGAGATAGTGGATAGTGAACAGATTTAGAGGCACTTGTATCCTTCACCATCACATGTGACTGTAGGTAAAGGACTTGAGAGGAGCAAACATTATGCATTTAACTACTGGCCTAAGAGTTGGTGATTCAAGCACAGCCAACAGCATGCAGAAGAGAATCCTGGCGAACTGCTTCCTGGACTGTAAGATTACAGCCAAGAAAACTCTGTGGAGAAGTGCTCCTCTGTAGCGCATGGATTCAGATTGGTATGAAATGGAGCAGACTTGACAAAAAGAGAGGGGTGGGGTGTGTGTGTGTGTGTGTGTGTGTGTGTGTGTGTGTGTGTGTGTGTAATTATAAAAGCATCTTTTTTTTTCAAGAGTACATGTCCTCAGCAGTCTAATGCAAGTAATGTCAAAACTTGCTAGATAATACTTTCAGCAGATGTTGCATAAGATGTTTCACATGGCAATTGTCTCACAGTAGGTGTTGCTGTTATTGTTGGGTGCCATCAAGTCAATGATGATTCATAGTGACCATATGGACAACAGGTCTGAACCTTGTGCTATCCTATTCCATCTTCGCCATCCCTGAGATGCTCCATTGTTACTGCGTCAATCCTGCTCCTGGAGTGTCTTCTTCTCTTTCTCTGACCTTCTACTTTTCCCAGCGTGATGTCTTTTTCCAAGCACTAATCCCTCCTAACAACATGCTCAAAGTGTGCGAGACACCGTTTCACCATCCTTGCCTCTAAGGAATATCCTGGTTGTACCTGTTCTGAGATGGATTTGTTTGTTCACGGATATTCCATAGTCTTCTCCAACATCACAATTCAAAGGCATTGATCCTTCTGTCACCCTTATTCATTGTTCAACTTTCATATGCATAGGAAGTAACTGAAAAGACCATGGCTCAGATCACGTGCATCTTAGTCATTAGATTTAGGTGGTTTAAAACCTTGGCTAGTTGTTGCTTTTGTTGTTATGTGCCGTCGAGTCGCCTGCAACTCATAGCGTCCTTATGTACAACAGCCCTAAATCCTGCTCTCTACCTTATTTTCTCTGACCCTCTTGGCTAGTAGAAAATGAAAATTTAAAAGGCCATAAAAGAGTCTCAGTGAGGAAAAGTAAGCTGGTGGTTAGCTCCTAAGGAGCCACTTCACCGAATACATACTCAGATATCTTATGCTCATATCCTTGAGAGAGTCACCTATACTAGTATATTTCCATTATAACAAAAATAAGGACCATTCCGGCTTGACTGGACACCTAAGCTCATCCCTTTGCAATGGCATGGTCATCACGGTAAATAAAATTCTTTAGAGGTGGCCCAGATTCTTGGGAATAACCAGGCTTCTGCCCTTCCTTTCTCCCAAGATTTTTTACCTGAAATAGCAAAGCCACTGAATCCCACAGCAAGTACCAGAAAGGAGATGGCCACCCCTTTGGTGTGGGAGAAGCCAACCACCAGAAGTAAGGTCGCCTCCATGCCAAAGCCTGCAGATGAAACAGAGGGGAGACACAGTTATTTCCATGACAATCAACCCAAGTTCACAGATCTCTCAAGTCAGAATTTGTTTCTTTTTCTTTTAATAGATCTTAGTTTTAAAATACACATTCTGGCACAGTGCTTAAAATATTACCCAAGTGTTCAGGACTCTGTGACTCTGTTAATAAGAGCTGAGTGTCCCATGAACCTTCTACCTTTCTCTTGGTTCATCTCAAGCACCAGATGGTTCCATGGGGTTCAGTGATGCTTCTGGGGTGAAAGAAGTTGGCCATCAGTCACTTCATTGGTGGTTCCTCCTGGTTTGGTTTGTCAATGGTTTATTTAGTTTGTGGGCTGAGAGGGTAGCTTAATCAATATTTTTACTTGAATCTAGTTGATCAAAATGTGTTCTTTCTCTCCTACAACTACAAATAAAAAATTGCACACATAAAAAAAAATGTGTTCTTTCTCTATTCAACTTTGTATTTTGTAGTTTGAGTGAAAGTTAGAAAACAAAAGAATTTTTCATTTGGCCATGCATACACGTTTGGTTCCTTAACATTTTTTTTAAATACCCCCAAGGACATTGCATTTCCCCCCGACACACATAATTTTTAAATATTAAAATTCTCCTGCAGCTGGTTGAGAAATCCTGGGTAGTGCCAACAGTTAACATGTGGGGCCACTAACCGAAATGCTTGGAGAGAATCCACTCAGAGACATCTCAGAAGAAAGGCCTGGCCATCTGCTTCTGAAAAATTTTAAACCTCCCCGAGCAGAGTTCTGCTCTGACCCACATGAGGTCACTGTGAGTCAGCACTGCCTCTCTGGCAACCGGTGTGGATATACTGCAATAGTTATCCTTTAACCAGGGAATTTTGGTGGCTTAGGTCTTTGCATTACTTGCTATGCATCAGAGAGTTGGGCAATGACTAAGGATGACAGAAGAAAAAGCATGCGTTTGAGCGCTGTGGTTCTGGAGAGGAGTATTGAACATACTATGGACTGCCAAGATAACAAACAGGTCTGCCCTAGAGAGGGTGAAATCAAGTTTCTCCTTGGAGGCTAGGATTTTTAAGCTCTGTTTTACTTACACTGGGTATGTTGCTAGGAGTGACCAGTCCTTGGAAAAGGGCATCAGGCTTGGAAGGGTGGAGGCACAGTGTAGGAGAGGAAAACCCCAGATGAGATGGTTTGGTATGATCACTGGGGTAACTGGAGCAAGTGTGTCAGAGACAGTGAGATTGGTTCAGGATAGGGCAGGGTTCATAGCCATTGTGCAAAGGGTCACTATAGCTCATAAACAACTCTATGGCATGTAACAGCAACAACAAGTTGTAAGGAACTGCACTCTGGACCCTTTGAATGGTACATGGTTCAAACCCACCAGCTACTTACTCCACGGGACTCAATGGTACATAACAACATCCTTTGACTATCTCCATAGTCTCACATATAAACATACAATGACAGTACTCTATTATTAATTGTCAAAAGTTACCACAGAGCTGGAGTGGATATTTGAAGCAGCATCTCACTGCTTGCGAAGTGTCAGGGAGAACTCTTTCCTCTGAAGAATCTACCAAGCTCTCAGGACACTCTATAAAATCCAGAAAACATTTGCATTGAAAACACAGCAGAACAATGGTACTCTCTGTTGCTTTCCTTTGTAAAAAGTGAGTCTAATAAAATGAAAAAAAGGATAAGGAAGTTATGAAGCAGTTAGTTCACTCCAAAAAAATGGTAAGTACAACCGCCAGCAAACAGAAAGATGGCACAACGGCCCTTTGTTTCAGGCAGTGGGAGGACAGTCTGCTGGTACCAGACAGCTCTCATGATTGTCCTACAGTTATGTCACAGACAACCTGATTAAAGCAAACCTTTGCACCTCTATTCTCTCCTCCTAAACAAACAATGCAAAACTCAGCTGCTGCCACCAGCATCCTCTAAAATAATCCTCTATCCAGACTTTAAACGGCATCAACTACAGAGTGAAAGGAGCTTCGGTTCAGATTCTATTCAAAATCATATGTTACATAACTTTAGGTGGAGGAAGGAGGCACCAGTCCTTAAAAAAAGACATCATGCTTGGAAAAGTGGAAGGTCAATGGACTAGAGGAAGCATCTTCATTGACAATGGCATCATTGATGAGAATGGTGCAGGGTAGGGCAAAGCTCAGTTCCGATGTTCACAGGATGCATATGGGTCATAGCCCCGCTAAGATCAAAATTAAAGAGAAATACATAAGCTGGAGCTTCAGAATCCTTGCCTCCAAGGAGCAAATTGGTTTCACCCTCTCTAGGACAGACTTCATTTGTTCTCTTGGCAGTCAATGGTATGTTCAATACTCTTCTCCAGCACCACAACTCAAAGGCATTGATTCTTCTTCTGGCATTTTTAGCCATTGTCCAGCTCTCTGATGCATAGCAAGTAATTGCAAAGATAATGAATGTCCTGGGCCAGGTGCACCTTAGTCTCTAGATGGACATCATTGCTCTTTAGCACTCTGAAGTGGTCCCTGGCAGCAGATTTACCTACTGCAACTTGTCTTTTGATTTTCTGACTGTTGGTGTCAAGAGTGTTGTATCGACCTTGTTCCACCAGCTGTAATAAGCCTATTTGGGAATGTGTGATGTTAATAGGAGAGAGAAGACACAGGGAAGAGTGGTCTGTGAGAATTTTTTCTATGAACCTAACTCTGACCTAAAAGAAATAAATCTGTGAAAAATTAAGTCTCTAAAAAGAGAGGATGAGGGATAAAACAAAAAAGATAATAAAGTATCATATCAATTGCTTTTGAATAGAATCTGACTCATGAGTTTTAGAGTGTAACTGTGCTCTTACGTGTTTGCAATGGCTGCAATTTCTTGGAAACGCACTGTCAAATCTTTCTTCTGAGACACCTCTGGGTACATTTAAACCAACAACCTTTTGGTTACTAACCCAGAACTTCACTATTTGTACGACCTAGGCAAATAATTCGAGAAGCTGGACTATATTAGAGATATAAAATGTGGCATCAGAATCAGAGGAAGACATCAATGCTTGTTATGCAAATAATACAATCTTGCTTGCAAAAAGTGAAGAAGACTTGGAACACTTGCCGCAGAAGATCAAGGATGACAGCCTTAGATATGGATTACATCCCAATCTCAAGAAAACAAATCCACACCACTGGGCCTTCACTTTCTTCATCATGATAGATGGAGACAAGATTGGAGTTGACAATGATCTCATCTTGCTTGGTCCTACAATCAGCATCCATGGTACCAGCAGTCAGGAAATCAAAAGCCATGTTGCACTGGGAAAACCTGCTGTCAAGAACTTCTCCAAAGTGCTGAAGACCAATGATATTGGTCTAATGACTAAGTTTCACCTGATACAAACCATAATCCTTTCAACTTTGGTATGCATCTAAAAGTTAGACAGTGAATAATGATGACTTTGAGTTGTGGTGTTAAAAAAAGAGCACAGAATATCCCACAGATGCCAAAAGAACAAATAAGTCTCTGAGAAAGGGCAAGCCGGTGCGCCTCGGAGGCAAAAATGATGAAGCTTCATACTTTGGGCATAGTGTTATGAGGGTTAGTCCTTGGAAAAGGGCATAATGCTTGGAAAGGTGGAGGGTCAGCCTAAGAGAGGAAAACCCACAAAAAGACTGACACAGTGACTGTTACAATGGGCTCAAATGTATCAGAAATTATGAGGATGGTACAGGCCAAGGCATGGAGGTTTTATAAGTCCTAGTCAACTCAATGGCACCTAACAACAAGAACAAGAGGTTCTCCTTGGGGAAAAGTTTGGGATTCCTGACGACAAATTTCTCCTTCTGCTGGGAAATCATCTCATTTCTCTTCTATCTTTGCAAAACGAAGACACACTCACTTAATCATGCAGTATAGAGGATGACTGTGTGTGTGTGTGTGTGTGTGTGTGTGTGTGTGTGTGTGTACACGTACCAGGTTGTTGTTGTTGTTATGTGCCATCAAGTCGCTTGCTACTCATAGTGTGACCCTATGTACAAGAGCTCTAAATGCCGTTCTATTCTGTGCCAACCTAGCCATCTCAAACGCATTCATTCCTACCACTCCAGTCACAGAATCCATCTCATCGAAGGTCTTCCTCTCCTTCGCCGCCCCTCCACTCTGCCAAACATGATGTCCCTCTCCAAGGACCAGCCCCTCCTTGCAACATGCACAAAGTATGTCAGATGAAGCTTCAGAATCCTTGACTCCAAGAAGCATTCCAGCTTCACCTTCTCCAGGAGAAACCTGTTTGTTCTCCTAGCAGTCCATGATATATTCAATACTCTTCTCCAGCACCACAGCTCAAAGACATCAATTATCTTTCTATCAACCCTATTCACTATCCAACTCCCTGATACATAGCACGTAATTGTGAAGACTATAGCCCAGATCAGACACACCTTAGTCTCCAGCCTGATGTCATTGCTCTTCAGTACTCTTGAGAGGTCCCTCACAGCTGACTTTACCAATGCAATTCGTCTTTTGATTTCCTGGCTACTGTTACCAAGAGTGTTGATTGTGGAGCCAAGTAAACTAAAATTGTTAACTATCTCAATCTCTTCACCATCCATACTGATGCTGCCAATTGGTCTTAGTGGTGAGAATCTTTGTTTTCTTGATGTTGAGCTTCAATCCACATAGGAGGCTGCAGTCCTTGACCTTCTGCAGCAAGCGCTTCAGGTCCTCCTCAGTTTCAGCAAGCAGGGTTGTGTCATCGGCACAACACAGATTGTTGATAGACCTTCCACCAATCCTGATGCCACAATTCTCCTCATAGAGCCCAGCCTCCCGGATAATCTGTTCTGCATACAGGTTGAAAAGGTATGGAGACAGGACATATTCCTGGCATACACCCTTCCCAATTTTGAACCATGCAATGTTTCCTTGCTCTGTTCTGACAACTGCCTCTTGGTTCGTGTATAGGTTCATTAGCACAATCAAATGTTCTGGGATTCCCATTCTTCTCAGAGTCAGCCACAGCTTGTTGTGATCCACATATATTGAGAGAGGAAAAGAGTATTCAGAGAGAATAGTTTTTTTATGATTCTTATTAATACCTATGTATCTACAGAAAAGAAGGAAGAAGATGGGAAATAAACTACTTAAGCAAAGAATAAGTGTAGAGACACTAAACAATAAACTGGAGATGCTGGTGGTGCAGTGTTGGACTTGCTAACTGAAATATTGGCAGTGTGAACCCACCAGCTGCTCAGGAGGAGAAAGATGGGCAGTCTTCTCCCCTGAAGACAGGCAGCCTCACAGACCCAGAGTGGGGGTGCTGTGGTCTGACTTGACTCTATCGCAGTGGATAGGGGTTGGTTCCGTTTTAGTAACTGGAAGCCATTTGACTTTGGTTTGAGAATAGCTGGAGAACATTTCTAGATGTGCACTCCTTCATCTGCCATCAACTAAATTTCCACAACTCAGATTGTCGAAGTACAGGCTGGGTGACATGTGCCAGGGGTGTGATAGACTCTCCCAGGGTTGCTGGGCAGTGGAGTTAGAGACCTTCAAGGTCTGTTTGGATGGCTACAATGACCTGCAGTGGGCTCTGCAGTTCCATTTCCTCCTATTTCATAAGAGTTTACTCCACCTCTGAAAGTCAGTACCTCCACAGTTCATGATTTTCCTGACAGCTGTTGTGGTCAAGATTTTTCGACTTCTTAAATAGTCGGCCAATTGTCCTCCAATGGGCACGATGATCGTCATCACCATGTGTGGGACAGCTGACAAGAGACCCACCTGGAATGCAAAGAAAAAGATACAATGGCTTGTTTTGAAGCTGCTTCAGAGACATGTGCTTCCCTCCTCCTCCTCCTCCTCACAGCCTCCACCACCAAAGCCAAGTTATCTAGGCACACAGGGAGCCCTAATGACCTAATGAGTAAAGGCCGTTCAAATACCCTAAATGCTCTGCAGGAAAAAGATGAGCAGTCTCTTCCCGTGTGATTTACAACTCCAGAAAAGCTGCTGGAGGACCAGCTATGAGTTGCTTCTGGCAGAAAGGCAAAGAGTTTGAGTATCTGTTTGAATTACACAGGATCCAAGTAGCTCTGAATTTCCTAATCATTTCTCAAAATAAACTTATACATAGATTTGAGTATATCTACCTTTCTCCTTTCTGGGGGACGCAAACTTTTCGAGCTCAACTGCTGAGAGAAACGTTAGCAGTTTGAGTCCATGAGTAGCATCATGGAAGAAAGGGCTGGCAATCTGATTGCATCAGTATTACAGCCAAGAACACTGCCACGGAGCTCAGTTCCACTCTGTGAAACAAGGGGCTGCCATGTGTGGAAGCTGTATTCATCTCCTCCACCAGATTGGAAGCTCCTTGACACACAGATTATTTTTATTCACTTCTGAAGAATTGCCAAGGGGCCTCAGCACCAGCAGCATAAAATCAGACACATAGTAGGCAGGTAAAGTATTTGGCACAAAGTGAGTGGCTCATCGAAGACAGATACTATTATTTCACTCCTCTCACCCTTCCGTGGTTACTTCTGACAGTACCTGCAGCTGTGTCTCATACTTCTACGAGGCTGCCATCTTTTCCCTTGTAGGAAGAAGCCAGTTCTTCCATAGTGATTGTGTTTAAACATCTACATCCTTCCTGCCTGAAACACTATGTGCCACCAATAGCTATGATTCAGGTTTGGGAACACAGAGAGAGGTTCTCTCTAAAACATATCAAGCAGTGGTGGTTATCAGTTGCTGTAACTGTCACTGGGGCGCAGGGCTGTGGGGTGAGTAGTTTGCAAAACGAGCACATAGATGTTCACCATCACTTACCAAGTAGTTAATGAGAAGCGCGGGAAGCATCTACATCCTCAAATCTTTTTATCCTTACCTGCTATGCTATGCTTGACTTAGCTCAAAAACAAAGTCCTTTGAGTTTGGATAGAATATAAATCTTTAAAAGCCGCTTAGGACAGCTCTGATCCTTGTGTGTGTGTGTGTGTGTTGACTTAGCTCAAAAACAAAGTCCTTTGAGTTTGGATAGAATATAAATCTTTAAAAGCCGCTTAGGACAGCTCTGATCCTCACTAAGATGCTGTTAAACAGCTATGTATATGATATACAGAATTTATAATGTGACTGTTCTCTGGGGTTTTAGGTATCACCATCCTGTTATGAATGATGATCAGCCAATAAGGTGCTTAATCATGAAGCCAAGGTGTTCTCAGCAGAATGAAGAGATTTAGAGTTTAAGAACACTTGCAGTGCCTATGTGTTTACCTTACTTATTGCAAATCCAAAGACCTCCTCGAAATAAGCAGGCTGGCTTATTAGCAGTAAATAGAAGGTCCAGCTTCTGCAGAAATTTGCCACAATGATTGCATAAACAGGCAGGGATGTGAAAAATCTTTTCCATGGGGTATTAAATTTCTAGGGAGAAAGAAAAAGTACTGTGAGATCCTCAGTGGAGATATTGGCATCATCTTTTTTAAAAAATAATTTTAATGAATTTTTACAGAGAATTTGGATTTCCATTCATTCATTGCTGCACTTCTCTACCCACCCAGCCCTCTCCCCCCGCCCCCCCAGTTTGCTCCTCTCTTTCAAAAGTAAAAGAAAGACTCCCTCCCTGGTACACAATCCCCCCACACCCCTCCCACCGCCCCAAGTACATTCCACTATGCAACCTTAATTGTGGACTCTTGTGATAACCATAATAGCCTATCATACATCGCTTTTAAATTATTCTCTCCCTCATCTGTTTCAGTGCAGTATACACAATTTATCCAACAAAACAGCATGATCACTGAGGAGCACTCTTTAAAAAAGAACAAATCTTTTTGTCCACTTATACTCACACTTAAACTGACTATATGTGTCCCTTCTCCAATGCTTGTTTCTATATATGTTCTCTCCTCGTTGGATATTGTTGGATGAGCTGCCGGACACTCATAGGCCTGCAACAGCCAAAACATGTACCAAATAATCCCAAACATACCTGCAGTAAAAAAAACAAAAGGCTGAATGATATGGTCTTACTGTGCTCCATATCGCAATTTTTAAAAAAAAGTATTCACAAGTGACATTATGTTCAGCTAGGAGAAAATGTGCTGATTTTTCTTCTTGTTGTTGCTAACTTCTTGTTTTTTAAGAAATAGTGTTGCTGGAGAGACTGGAAAGCATTATGCTGAGTGAACTAACTCAGTCTCATAAAGACAAATAGTGCACAAGACCATTATTGTAAAAATAGAAGGATAACTAGTGGAATGAATACACAAATCCAAAAGGGAAAGGGGAGGGAGTGGGGGCTCAACATGGGGAAAGAGGGAAATCATAGGGTCACAGAATTTGGTGAGCAGAGAGAAGGGGTTGAAGAAACTGAACAGATCCAACGGGGACCTGAAAGGACAAGATGATAGTGGGCAGAGATCAATGGTGATTAATTTTATAAAACACAATATGCAGGCATGACTGTATGAAGCACAATATGAGTCAAGAGATGTATGAAACACGTGCATATAAATGAAGAAAAATGTATACAAATTTTTATGTAAACCAATATAAGATTTAAAAGAGAATGTTACACTCGTTACAAAAAGCCAACTTTAATATAAACATTACATGAATTATAGATAGATAACTATTCCATTTTTATGGTAAACTTTTCTATTGTCATATAGCAAAGTCTTAGCCAAGGCCATGATACAGGATAATCCCATCTCTATGAGTCTCCTGTGTGAACTCTAAGTCACATCACTCACCATAAATATAAAAGACTGAGGACCATCCAATGTACTGCACAAGCACACCAGCCAAGGGCATGGCGACCACCGCCCCCGCGTAGGAACCTGGAAATGAAAAAAGAGGGAAGGAAGCTCGCTCGACACCAGGCAGACCATGTCAACCCACATAACGTCCATGTGGTTGCGGTTGCTCTATGTTGTCAAGTTGGAACCAACACATACATAGCTGACTGGCCCTCTAGCATGTTTTCAGAGACTGTAAATCACACAAGAGGAGGCTGTCCAAAGAGCACTTGGTGGATTTGAACCACCTGCCTTTGGCTTGGCAGTGCAACTCCTTTTTTTTTTTCTATATTTTATTAATTTTCATAAACATTTACAGAGATTTTGGGTTTCCATTCATTCCTTGTTGCACTATTCTCTCTACCCTCCTCCCAGTTTGTTCTTGTCCAAATGCCACAGTGCTTGTCAAAGCCAGTTCTGATTAATCTTCTTTGTCAGTGTGTCCTTTGCCATTCCCTATCACTCCTCCCTGAGAGAGACTTCACCCTGAGTCATAAGGAAAAGGGGATGGCGTATTCTCTTAGCTACTTCCTGCTGAAAAGGGATGCTGTGGGTTTCAGGGTGAAGATCTTCTCTCACTACTCTAAAGGGCCCCTTTGGCAGTAGGAAACACATAGACTATTATGGAGATTGATTTTGGGATTTAGAAGCACTCTTATTGATTGTGCTTGGCCGTACATGTTCATATCCTTGAAGATGTATCATGGGGGTGTTGCAACCTAGAAGGCTCAAATTTGACTAACAAGTTATAAGTACATGAGTCCAAAAATTATGGAAAAATAAAGAAAAGATTCTTTCATTGTTTTACAAACCCTCCCCCAGGTCCCCTCCACCATGTAGCCCTCGCTCTAGTCTCCTGTGATGACAGAAATACCTAGTTATATATCTCTTTTAAACAGTTTTCTCCCTCCTCTGTTTCAGTGCAGTATACATTATTGAACCCATCTTACTCAGTCTCTCCCCAACAGTGGCATCATGTAACATTTGTCCTTTTGTGACTGGGATATTTCGACAGTGCAACTCCTTACCACTAGACCACTAGAGCTCCCCTAGGTTCATGTACCAAAAAGGTAAAGGGCATTTGCACAGAGCAAAAGTCAGACCATCTCTGTGTTGAAGGACAGGAATATCCCAGCATGTCTTAAAACAGGGTTTCCTATTTTAAGAAAGTCACCAGGAAGTTCTAGATGTCAATCAGGGAGTTCTGGTGGCATAGTACTTAGTGTGTTATACTGTTAACCCAAAGGTGGGAAGTTTGAATCTACCAGTCCCTCTTTGGGAGAAAAATGGTGGCTTCCTCTCAGTGACATGCATAGCCTTGGAAGTCAGAATTTGTGAGAAGCAGTAAAACTGTGTATGAAGATGTTTTGTAAGGTGGTTTTAGGTACCATGCAGGTACCAGGCGATGACTGCTGAGGAACCACAACTTGGAACTGGATGAGATAATGAATTAGAAGACAAGTCAGCCAGACAGAATATTAGATGCTGAAAATATCAAGAGAAAAAAAAATGTAAACTCTGCTTTTCAGAGTTCACAGGTCAAATGATGTCTTGGCTTGAACAGTTTCCTCCAAAAATATGTGTTCGAATCTCAACCCCTATTCCTCTGGATGTAATCCCTTTGGATACAGAAACTTTTTTTTTCATTGCTATTTTAGTGGCACTGTATTGGTACAGGTTAGCTCCCAAACCTCATAGCTACTAAGTTATAAAAAGAGCAGATTAGACTCAAAAGTGCTGGGGTGGGAAAAAAATGGAAAAAGAGCCATGTAATCGTTACTTATAATCAATAATCACTTGATCAATCAGCAAGCGAAGAATCAACAGCCAAATTTCGTATTTGGATTTTCAGACTTGAGAATGGTGAGAAAATAAATTTCTGTTTTTCAAAGTCTCCCCCGTGTGATGTGTGTGATGTGTGTGCTACAGCAACACTAAGAAACAAAGAGAGGGGGCGTATCACCCAAATTTAAATGAGGCCATTGAACTCTTAAAGAATCATGAGATTGAGATAGAGATAGAGACAGAGACAAAGACAGAGATAGATAGAGATAGAGACAGAGATAGAGATGACGATTTAAAAAAAAACAACAATTCTGTTCTTGTATGACAGCAAAGGCTACTTTATCTAGCTCCTGAATAGTGTATTTTTAAGTTTATTTCTATTTGATCTCACAAATACTTACCTGTGTGTGAATGGTTATCTTGTCTAGACAAGATAACAAGGCCTGTGTGGCAGTGGCCTGGCCTCCACTATCTGCTGTAACCTCATGATAGCAGGTAGAGGAGCAGGGGCCCTGTGAACTACCAGTAAATATTAATTGAATTTAAGTGCTGCTATCGGAAATTCTCCCCATGGCATAAGTGAAAAACATTTTCTATGCTTCATAAATGTGCAGTGGAGAGAAATCCCTTATCCCAGAATCCCAGGCAGAGGGAGCTCATTCTTTGAAGGTAGGCCTGCCCTTCTGTAAAAGGCCCATCAGGACCTGGAATCTGATCCTCCTGGTACCTGAGGAAGTCTCTCAGTTGTCCTAAGCCTCATTTACCTTAGAGAGGAGAGTGACTTACAATATCTATCTCCCATAGCTGTTGTGAGGAGCAAGTGAAATAACGTGTGAAGATGCTTTGTAAGCTGCAAAGTGCTGTGCAACTGACAACTATTACTGTTACAATTATGTACACAACGATGAACTTTTCTCTCCCAATACTTCTAAGTTTCTCCAATCAGTAAGGGAAGCACCCCAGGACATTCAGCACCTCATTTAGAAATAACTGCAGGTCTAACTCGGCTGTAAATATGGAGAAGGTGACAGACACCCTGGGAAGAGCAGAGGAGATGTCTAGTTTAGGTGATGCAAAAGGTTGGCTGGGACAGGTAGGGTTCTGGAATAACCAACAGCCTCTAAGATATACTAGGGGGCTATGGTGGCGTAGTCCATAGAGAGTTATTCTGTTAACCCAAAGTCTCGCCTCTCTGGCAATTTCAATCTATTAATGGCTCTGGAAAAAGAAAAATGGGCAATCTCCTCCTGTACAATTTATAGCCTTGCAAACCAGCTGGAGGATCAGCTCTGAGCTAGTTTCAACTCAACAATGAGAAGGAAGCTGAGAAAGACGTACAAAGTGCTATCCAAACACCAAGTAGCGAGCTCTGGGGGCCCAGTCTTTAAGGAGTTGTGCTACTAAAACAAAGGTCACACCTCGCTGGCAGTTTGAATCCACCAGCAGCTCTGAGGGCAAAGATGGTCAATCTCCTCCTGTGGGATTTACAGCTTTGAAACCTATTGGAGGATCTGCTGTGAGTCAGCTCCAACGTGTTGGCAATGACTTTGATTTTATTTGGTTTTATTTTCTTTATTTTTTTAGCTTTTTTTAGGCATCAAGTACTGCACTAAGTATCCTATACCTGTGGTTTTATTTAATTCTCTTTTTAACCTGATGAGAGTGTTGTTGTTGACAGGTGCCGCGAAGTTGAGTATGACTTATAGCGACCCTATGAACACTAGAACTGAACCCTGTCCTGTCCTGCGCCATCCTCACACTTCCTGACACACAAGAGCCCATTGCACCAGTAACTGTGTCAATCCACCTGGTTGAGGGTCTTCCTCTCCTTCACTGACCCTCCATCCTTCCCAGCATCATGTCCTTCTCCAAGAAATAACCCCTCCGAGCAACATGCTCAAAGTATACGAGGCGAAGTCTCATCATTCTTGCCTCCACCTGTACCCTCTCCAAGACATATCTGTTTTTTTGGCCATCCATGAGATGTTCAGTCCTCTTCTACACCACAGTTAAAAGGCATCAATTCTTTTTCTGTCATCCTTATCCATTGTCCAGCTCTCAGATGCCTAACAAGTGATCCAAAAGACTAAGACCTGAATCAGATGTACCTTAGTCACTAACTGCAGATTTTCCCAGTACAATGTGTCTCCTTATTTCCTGACTGCTGGTACCAACGGTGTTTAATTGTAGATCGAAGCAAGATGAAGCTGTTGAAAGTTTCAGTCTCCTCTCCATCCATTTGACTATGTGGATCATAACAAGCTGTGGCTGACATTGAGAAGAATAGGGGTCCCAGAGCACCTAATTGTGCTCATGTGGGACCTATACCTGGACCATGAGGCTGTTGTGTAAAGAGCAGGGGAACATTGCATGGTTTAAAATTGACCAGGGTGTGTGTTGAGGTTGTATTCTATCTCCATACCTATTTAGTCTGTATCCTGAGCAAATTATTCGAGAAGCTGGACTCTATTAAAAGGAATGTGATATCAGGATTGGAGGGAGACTCACCAATAACCTGCATTATGCAGATGACACAACCTTGCTTACTGAAAGTGAGGAGGACTTGAAGCACTTGCTGCAGAAGATCAAGGAATGCAGCCTTCAGTATGGATTGCATCTCAATGTCAAGGAAAAAAAGGTTCTTACCGTTGGACCAAAAGCAACATTATGATGGAGAAGAGATTGATGAGATAGAAGCCAATATTATATCCATTTTATATGGAATAAAAAGAATTGGGGAGAGTGGATCACCTGAGATCAAGCAGGTGTTAGTGACAAATTTCCTGGAATCCAAGTTCATAGGACTCACAGCCCTTGAACTTAATTATTTACTAATCAAATCCTGTCTCCTTTTAAAGACATCCAGTAATTCCTGACAGTAAAAGCTATTCTTTCATTATGAAAATGACAACTTGGCCTAAACTGCCCTTTTTCCTAGTCATCAAATGTTCCATTCACACTCACAGCCCCTGAGCATGCCTTCAAGATGGACACAGTCTGGATGCCCTGGCTGCATTCAGACTGTCCTTGGAAACAGACTGTATCTTTTTTAAATCTTATTCTATTATAATTCACATAACACAAATAAATCCTTATAACATGAACAATTCAGTGGCATTCAGTACACTCACAATGGTGGTACAAATATCACTCCTACCTGCTGTTGTTATTGTTGTTGTTGTTATGTGCCGTC